ATGCCGAGAATCGCACACATCATTTCACTCGCTTGTAAACCATACACTACGTACTTTGTACTCCGTTCCTGGTATATTTCGAAAATAACGATAACTTTGTATTGTAATGTAATTACAGTAAATATTGTAGAGCTATATATATCTAAATAAAGCTCTAAAGTGGCAAATATATTTAAAAATATTGTAAAAGTATAAAAAATTACAAAAAAAGATTATAAAAATGAATAAAAACTAAAAAAAGAGACACCATGAAACTGAAAAACAATCGTGATAAAAACTATCTAATGCAAATTGGTAGCTTTTTCATATTGGAAATTCATGTAAAATTTTCGGCAATTACATGTACACTTAGTTCTAGCCAATTTAAATTTTAATTAATTAATCAAATAGACCACACTTTATTTTCACCATTAAGTTTTTCTTTTTTGTTAGAAATACTTGACTCAATTTCAATCCATCCATTTTCGAACATTCCATTTGGAAAATATTCTTTAATTTTACATTCAACGCTCATGATTTTTAAAGTATATTCTCTCCACCAAGAAGTTGCAGTTCTTCCAACAGATTGTAATTGAAAAGAAGGCAACTTGCCAAGATATCTATTTAAAATCAATAAATGTTATTAGATATTTAAAATTATAGATTTAGAATATCAAATATAGCCAATCAACAATAATAACTTGCCTAAATAATTGGCCAATCCCCACACCTTTGTTCATAATCAAATCTACAACAAAACTATCAAAAATTACGACCTCACTTACGGCATTACAAACTATTTTACCCTCACATATAAGATTGACTTCCCGATCAAATTTTTGTAAAATTTGATTACCATGCGCAGAAGATTCCTGACGAACAATAGGGACACTAATATTTTTTATAATTTGTACTGTTATAGATTTGTTAAACCATGAACTAACAAAATTGTTTATAATTAGATAACACTTTAATATCTTGAACACGATTAAATTTAATATTAACAAACCTTAAAATCCTTTGTAAATTACCATTAGCACTTAAACAAATCCTCTCTAAGCCATTGAATTCATCTGGTAATGATATTTTAGTCTCTCTTAAAAACATTAAATCTCCAAAGTTATTAGGAATTAAGTCTAACGGATTATCATCTACGGTTTCATTTTTCTCTTTACTATAAAAAGTACTCACTTTAATTAACATGTTTTTAGATGGTATACACATATTTTAAATTGGCTTGAACAAATTATATACTTACTTCCTAGTTTATAATAGCAAACAAATTTTATATTCACCATCTAATTCAATATGTATAGATCAATATGTGTAAATTCATAACTTATCGAAATGAAGGGACACTTCAAGAACACGGAACCCACATCACATGTGAAATCATGAATGGCGTCATTTGTTTACTAGCACTAAAAAAATTAGCCTAAACTATCTTATCACCTAACCCTAACACTAATCCTAACTTAGGCCGAACACTTAATCATGTGATGTGATGATCACGAAAATATCACTGGGTTCCTTGTTCTTGAAACTACCCGAGAAGTGGGAATATTGTACTTACAATTTATAATTGATGATGATGCATGAAAATAATAGATTTAATTACTAGAATTTTATACTTACCCCCTAATTAATGTGAGAGAAAATGGTTAAAAACTAGAAATCTAAACAAAATTGGAGTTATTATTTTTGAAAAATCTCTAATAAACAATGAACTTATACTTACGAACTATTAATTTAATATTAGCACATGAATAATTAGATTATAATGATGGAAGTCATAACTCAATAATTTTAAAATTCTTCACACAATAACTCTCACTATATTTGTTCATTGGGACGTTATTTTAAACCACAAAATTTAAGAGCACTAATAATTAAATCAGTCAAGGATTTTTATTTAACTCCTTTAAATTGCAGATCTCAAAATAACGTCCCAATACATTATATAATAGTAACTTTGTAGTGTTTAAATTTCTATTCCACATTGAAAACTTTAAAAATTTATGAATTAAAGCTTCTAGCATTATCTAATTATTTAAATAAATTTATGTGGATCCTTTGACCCAAAATTAACAGAACTCATTAACTTACTTGCTATTCATTTCAATGATACAAAATAATCCAAATATATCCTACAAGTTTTTTAGAATTTAAACGTCTTGTGATTAGTTTATAATTAATAGGCACAATGATTATAGCAAAATCAACAAGGACTTAAATTGAAATTAAGCCATATAAATAATTAGTTGTTTCTCATAACTCGGACGGGTCAGCTTTTGTAAAGTTTCATCCAAAATTATAAGTTCTTTATTACCGTATTGTCGCGAAATAACGCGCAGGGGTGAAATTACAAATTTCGGCCTAAATTAAGCTTAATCTGGGCCAAACCTCTAATTAACGCCCATGCCCGTTATTTCGCGACAATACTTTCGGGGGAGTTTTTGAAAAAAAAATCAATGTTTTTAATATTTTTCTAAATAAAAAAAATAAGAATATTTTGGTAATTAAAAATTAAAAGCCCGCCGGCTGGTAAATTTAAAATTCATGTTATGAGAAACAATTAGTCCCTAATATTCTAACAGAGTATTGGAGCGAAGTTTGAAAAGTTGAGGAAATTTCCATCAATATAAATGAATTAATTTATTTATACCTGGTTAGGTGTTCTAAATCTTCAATCGTGAAATTGACGAGTATTTCTAGAAGTAATAACAAGAAGTATTTAAATACTAGATACTAGCGCTAAAAACTTTCTAACACACAGCTGACTATTTTATAACATTTTCGTGTACTATCAGACCCTAAATCTGGGTGATGCTTAAAGCAGGATACCATTTAACCAGTAAATAAATAGCTGTCATGCTAAACCAAGAGAAGTAACCAGATACTGATATGCAGGAGACTTCATTGCCCAGTTTTTTTTTTCTAATTAATGTGGGAAGTGATATCAGGGACACGGAATTTATGTGTGCCCACCTGCGCGGTATACACGCGTTATTTAGAACGTGTATTGGCATTATTTTGATGCAAATAAAACTTTCCTTAAACTCGCCTGCTATACAAATTATTCTGTTGAAATTTTAATGTTAGGTGTGCGTCATTTTGGGACGCAAATGGAAGTTATTCATAAATCATATATCTATTTTTGGGAGATAATAATGCCCATGCTCGTTATCTCGTGAAAACACGGTGCCTTAAATTTAAATTTGCCCCAATTGTCAATCGGGATGACCCAGAAGTTAATTTACTAAAATTTAACTAAACGCCCTGCCTACATTAATTTGTTTATAATTTTGGTCAATCGACATTGGAACAAATTGACATCTGGGGCAAAACATATATAAAATAAGGTAGCTGCGCAACGGAGTTGCGTTAAACCAGGAGCGGATGAATCAGTAGATTATATTAGAAGTTCTAAAAAAATTAAAATTATAACGCTTATTAATAAATTATTTACAGAACATACTGACCTGATCTTAGCATTCATATATCTTATAGTCATAATTATAGTATAAAAAATGTAAACTGTATTACCATAATCAGTGTTGTACACGGACGTTGCCCCGTTAAAATTGCAGGGACACGGACAGTCCCGGACGATGTCCCATGTCCGTGATGGTATCATATGTAACATGGTTTATCAAACAACCTCATTGGCTAACAAAGCCACTCTTACTATAATTTTTGGGACGTTAATATTTGGCGGACATGTCCGGGACGTCCCATCCCGGATTGTCCGTTGTCCGTGTCCCTGTCCCATGACAACACTGACCATAATTGTAGAAAGCTTTGTTAAAAATCGCTTAAAAAATTTTTTTTTGATATTCAATCATTTAACTGTGTTTGGGAATTTTACCAACTGGGTTATAATACCGTTCACGAAAATTTCGTGTCAGTGATTAATAGCATTCTTTAATGTGGTTAAATGATTTTAATATTTGCATATTCTTAAATAGGCTAAAATTTTTTTTTTTTTTTAGCATGACCATCCTTAAACGCGTAAATCGCAGAATCTCCACATGTAAGAATCATTAATATAGTATTGTCAGATACATAAAATGAATGAATTATATAATATGTAACGTATCATTGTGTGAAATAATATAATTAATTGGAAGAAATATCTTCGTTATTATTATGCTATCTGATATCAGTACATTAAATTAACATAGTGAATTATTACAAGCAGCAATATGGAGAATCTATATTAAGTAAAACAGTTAACAAATGTAAGTGGCTACATCGGAATATTTTTTGATCACTATAGAATTTTTTATATCAGTAAAAATTCTGCGTAAAGTTAAATTCATCAATGAGCTATCGCTATATCAATTTTGAATATATTTAATTTATTAAAGATCTGCGAAATTATGTAACAAAAAAAAAATACCCGATGTCGTATTACATACTATCGCTATAAACCAATAACCAAAATAGGCAAAAACAGGATATAACTTGCATATGGTATGAATTGATTTTATGATTAACTAATCTGTAATTAGTAAAAAATGGATGGACATGTCATTTCTTAATTTCAGAATGGATACGTCAATTAACAATTGACATAAATGCAAATACGTATATTAATAGATAAACCTTCCTAAAGAGGGATGTTACACACTTGTAACCTTTGTATTACATCTATCTGGTTTTTTGTTGCACGGGTCTTATGTGACAACCCGTATTTACGTATCTTTCTCTCTTTTAATATTGAAGAGGACGAATCTAATTGTATTGATATTTCGTTCTATCATGACTAATAAAAATACCGTAAAGGATTTAAACTTTCAAAATCAAGATGATACAGTAATAAATATCTTGTTTTTCCGAGCTTGATTTAGAAGTAGATCTGTGACGTGATGTCCTTTACAAAATGGCAATTCCAATTTTAAGTGAAACGGCGCAAAATTTATTACAATTTCTGCTTATTTTCAGACACGGAAAATATCATAAGTGTGAAAGATCATTAAATCAAAATAACTTTGCAGGGATATTTTTAAAAACATGATGAAAATTTAAATGTAATATAAGTCATGTATATATTGTATATTAAATAAAACAGAGAATTTACAAATTTCATATTACACTAAATTTTTTTAAAGCAATAGTTTTTTTTAAATAAATATTTTTAAAAAAAACTCGATAAACATTCGAACATCGGTCAAAAACTTTTTACGAATCGAAAGTTTGTGATCAAACGAATGATCTAAATTCATCGATTTCAATCTATACTCCTGATTTTGATAAAAATTGTGGCTGTGTAAGGTTTATATTTAGCAATTAATTTAAGAGTAACAAGATATGGTATGGTTTATTAGTAAGTGTCTGAACGTTCTTATTTTTAAGGACTTCACACAATTTCCCCGCCAATTCTGATTGTTCTATTAATTATTCACATATCGGAATATCTGTGTTATTAAACAATTTTATAGTACTCACGATAGTGAAGTGGTGGGACAAATAATAAACTCCAAAATGAGCTACGCGCAAAATCTGATAGAATCTCGTAACATTTTATAATACAAATGCGCAATTGTATTTAACAAAAATTAATTACCGGAAAAGGGGTCCGTTAAGGTCAGTTACATATGTACGGTGCCGCATAGAATAGTTGCTATTAATTAAGTATATGTTATTCTTGACATATACATATTTCTATGTAAAGTGGTCGAGAGATTGATAAGAATTTATTTTCAATGTGTTATCGACTTGTGCATTATATGTAGAGAGATTGAGATTTTAAATTTCCCGCACCGTACATATCTCTTAAATTTATCAACTTCAATAAAGTATTTACATCTTTAGATTTCTTTCACCGTACGTACTGTATATACTTGCTGTTCCCTAATTCGAAAATAAATATGCATAAAAGTTCATCCACGATAATATGATGCTTGTATGTTTTAACTTACTGTTGACTTTAAATTTTATTTCCAAATAGAAAAATAGCATTGTTACTTCAAAAAACGTGCCATTACAACTTCTATGGAAACCAACAATCAAAAAACCCTAATTAACTTATCCCGTCTTCCGATTCCAACATTGAAAGAAACAGCAGAACGTTATAAGAATTGTTTATTACCTCTTTTATCCACATCGGATTATAATCGAGCAGCCAATGTCGTTGATGAATTTATGAAGGAAGTTCTTCAAGGAAAGATTATACGATGTTGATAAAAGTGAAAAGGTAAAGAGATCAAATTCAATTATTCAATAAGTTATTATTTATTAAATAAAACCTATATTTCTATTGCAGTACAATTGGAATGAAACCATCTGGTTAAATAAATATTTTTTAGACAATAGAGTACCTTTACTTATAAATTATAATTGGTGGATCGAGTTCAATGATCCTGTTACCGGAATTTTAGAAAATCCTCCCAAAAAGGTCAAATATCCGAGTTTCAAATCGATAGAGCTGCTAGCAAAATATGTTGACATTTAATGATATGATTAACAAGTATGTTATTTTTTAGGACTTTATATTCAATTTGTTTATTGTCCGGAGAGTAGCGACTTTAGTGTATATGCAAGGTGATATAAAAGCTACGTTTTTGATGCATTTCGACCAAAAATAATTAATTAAATTACCTTTTCAGAAAAATTCAGTGTAACAAAAATATGCATTCTTACGCGTTTGTTGTGATAATCATCATATGTTCCGGACACATAACTGATAATGCAACGCATTAATCTAATTAATACATTTGCATTTGCTGTAATTGTATAGTGAATTATTACTACAGAAAAAGGCACGTCACGGTAGGGTGCGGCCCAAACTAATTAAATCAAACATTAGTTATTGATGGTTATATTTAAATAAAGTTAAATTCCCGATTAAAGTTAAATTTGAGATTACATAATAACGTCATTAATCAATTTTTTTTTCATCGAACAAATTGTCAAATAACTCATCAGCGGGTATATTCCCATATTCTGTTGATTCTTCTACACATATGGGCGGATTTGCGTCATTACTAGTAAAATTCAACAGCGAATAACTTTTTATCCACCGGACCATTTTAGATGATTTCACCGCCAAAATGACCATCTCGATGAGACGGTTCTAATGAGCCTAAAATCGCCAAGATCTAATCACAGGATCGCGAGGTATTTCGCTTCGGGTAAAATAGGCTGGGTATAACCCATCCTATTTTACCCGAAGCAGACAACTTTCTAAATATCTTGGGATCCCGTGATTGGATTTTGGGATTTTGGGCTCGTTAGAATCGTTTCATCGAGACGGTTATCCTGGTGGTAAAATCATCTACAATAGACCTGAGAATAAAAAGCTATTCGCTTTTAAACATTTTGCCATTTTTAGTAGTAATGACGCAAATCCGCCCATATGATTTTTTTTGCCATGCTTTGACTACGTGCAGCACTTAAATCCATCTCTGAAACAGAAGTATCCTTGATATTGCTGTTGACATATTTGAATGGCTTTTCAAATCAAACTTGGTGAAAAGCCCTTCAATTTGCTGCTGATGAACTACAATATAATATACAGTCAAACCCCTCTATAATCACACACGTGGGATACAAAAATGCGTGATTGTAGAGAAGTGTGATAGTTATAGAGGTCAAATCCATTATACTTAATAGTAGTTTGTTTTTAAAAAAATATGTGTATTTAGAAAATGTGCTTATATAGGAGGTGACTATAGAGAGGTCAGACTGTATATACAGTACTATAATTCTCAAAAAATAACCTGTTTGCCCTTAATTTTATAACCTTTTGATTGTGTTATTGTTGATTTAGACTGTTTTTCGAATGTAGAAAACCATATTTGTATATCTTTTGGGGTTGAAACATTAACAAATATTTCAGCTTCAAACTATCATATTTCAAAACCTTTAGTAGTATTATATGATGGTAAGTTTGTAATGCATTGAATAATATAGCTATAATTTGAAGGAAAAATAGCTTTTAAAAAATTTGGCAGAGAATCCCAAGAAACTATCTAAAAAAAAGAATAATAATAAAAATTATTATTATTATTATTATTTTATTGCAAAAGAGCTTTTATATCTATTTTAAAATTTAATTACCTTACAAGAATCTTCATTCATATTAATATTTTGAATTGCTTCATCTTCACTCATATTAATATTTTGAATTGCTTTATCTTTGCCCATATTAACAGAATTCGTAATACTTTGAATTGCTATATCTTTACTCATATTTACAGGATTCATTATATTTTGAAGTGCTTCATCTTTATTAAGGTTTGTAATGCTTTAAATTGCTTTATAAGAATTGAAATCAGATTTAATATAGTTATTCTTAGCAAACTATAAATAATAAATACAAGATTAAATAAATAATAACTAGTAATAAGACTAGGTAAAGTACAACTTTAACTCACTCTATTGATTTTTTCATCTATTTGCATCACTTCATTTATGAATATATTGTCAATATGATTCGTAAATGCATTATCAATATGATTCGTGAATGTATTATCAATATGACTTGTAAATGTATTACCAATATGACTTGTAAATATATTGTCAATATAGCTTGTAAATGTATGACTTGTAGGTATATTTCCCATATAATTTGTAAATGTATTTCTATTTTCCATACAATTTGTAAATATATTTCCTATTTTATGATTTATGAATATATTCTCATTTGTATTGTTTTTGAATGCGAAGGCTATACTTAAATGCAAAAGTCTGATTTCAGATGCTATGGTATTAAGTAATACAAATTCTATATAAGTAATCATTCTTACTAACAAACTTCTTGATCTATAAATTACTTATTTATGTAAATTTGGCACTTAAGTTTCTTATTAATCGTACTCTAGACCTTATTAAAAAATCGCCCTCATACAAGTTTCACCTCATGCTTTAGTAATACAATCCTTTCATCTTATGTTTAATAATATTACTATAAAGAATGAATGTTGCTGCAAGAGTTGCCTTTAGCTGATAATAACAATTATTTTAAAGTTTCTTAATTAATTATATAATTAAATATATGATTATAATAATAAATAAGCATTTAAAATTTTTAATTAGATATACAATTGTTATAATAAATAAATATTTAAGATTTTTTAATTATGATTATTAAGGTAAATAATTGAAGTTTTAATCATCTTATAAAATTTTTATTAACCTCTTTTTTTTTTTTTCTGTTTAAAATATTCAGGTTCTTTTTGATATTTATTTCATCATCAGCTAGTTCTTGATTTACTGCTTTCTATCACTTTTATAAAATTTATATTTGATTGTCTTTATTATTATAGACTCCTACTTTATTTTTTTTTTCACCACATTTCACCTTCAAATTTCTACCTACATACATGAAATAACATGATAATTCTTACTAATACCAAGGAAAATAAAAGTAAAACCTTGTAGATCGAATTTACTATTTATTATTTTCTCTATATAGCATTATATTATTTATCTGTCAAATAGACTTTAAATTACTCTGAATTACGTTAAATTAGTTTGTTATTTTAATCACCAATATGTATTATCATTACACATAATTGTAAATGTATTATTATATTAAGAATAGCAGGATGCGTTGCTGGGTATGCCAAATCTATAGTTATACTACATATTGATCGATATAACCTAGCACAGAATGTTGGGGTGCTAGCACAACTAAATATTTGTTTAGAAGCTATACTTGTAGCTAGTATAGCAAGAAAGTCATGCATTATTTTAGCCAGAGTTGGATAATGATTATTTTTTTTTTACTATTTGATAATATTAGTAGTTTTGGATGCAACTTGCTTATCAATATATTGTTTGAATTTACCAAAAATATCTTGACTAATTTGTTTTTTTTTCATTATATATTTATAATAATTATTAATATGATCTTTGTATTATTCTTGATGCTAGTGGCATTTTCAATATTAGTTGAACTTTGTTCAAGAACTGAAAAAAAATAATAGTTAAGATAAATATTATCAAAACTAAATTATCAAAAATATAAATTAATTAATAATAAGTAATATACTATAAATTACTAATAAATTAGCAATAATAAGGGTGTGGCGACTTAGTAAAGTGGTGGAGTTGTTGCATCCTCAAATGGCAGGTCTAGAGTTCAAATTTCACAGATGATGATTTTGAAAAAACTAGATCTGTATCAGTTAATGTTAAGATTATCAGTTAGATCCAAATATCTGTAATCTTGGTCATACCATCTTGAATGGGAGCTTTGGTGCAATAAATCCAGTAAACCAGAATTACCAAAAAACCTGTTTGGCAAGTTACTAGTTGGGAAGTAGCAGTGATCTTTGACAGTGCTACAGGAAGACTGAATACTGAATTTGGAACTGGAGACTAAGACCGGAGAACTAAGCGACCAGGTCCTTAAGTGGGGGGACATACTAGCTGAACCACCAACTCGCCACCAGAGGAAAAGGACTTGTGCTCTGGAAGCATGTATCAAAAGAAGAGAAACCGTAAGACACCTAAAGCCTGGGCAGACCAACACTTCTGAGTTGCTAGCTAGAAATAAGGGAGGAACTGGTAAGGAATCTGGGAAAGAAGGAAGTTAGAACGTGGGTACTGGAGTTGTTGTGAGCCTTGCAAGGGCAGGAGTACATAAATAGGAACTAATTAGAAGTGTTGTGGCTTGAAATACGGATCAGGTTATGGCAGTATCTAAAAAGATAGCTTGAAATATGAACCTGGTAGTAGTAGCACAACATGTACTAGTTAGGAAAAAGTTACCGAATATGCAGGTAGGTATATATGTGGGACATGTACTACTCTGTTAGGTTTACTACAAGGATAAATACCCATGTGGCTAAAGTCTTAGGGTCATTCTATGGTATTGCTAATCTTATTAAGAGTGTTAGAGTAAGCATGTTACAGAAATAGAGCTAGAGAATTTAAATAGATATCCCCTATAGTTGGGTACAAGTATGGCAGCTAGTGTGGAGTCTAGGGCAGACTACTTAAATAGGTAACTAAAAGTTGCATATATAGCTAGTCATACTCTTGTTAGTAAAATAATCAGAGAGCTTAAATAGGTAATCTTCTAGTTAGGTTGCAGGTATGGTGGCTAGTGTAGAACCCAGGCGGACTACTTAAATTAGGTACTAAAAGTACACGTGTAGCTAGTTGTATCCTCATGAAATTGATGTAATATCATATTTATCTGAATAAAGCTAAGTGCTGGGGACCTAAGTAGTCACCTTAATATTAAAAAAAAAAAATAAAAATAAACTTTCATTCAATAATTGGTATTCCTGCCAATAGTGAAATTTTTGTAAGTCTTGTTATATATACATTGTATTGTGATACAAACTGTTCAACAAGATCTTGTTGACAATAACTCTATTTATTACTAATATGATTTCAGGTATCTTTTTGATCTCCATGTTAAGAATCTGATATATATATTTTTACAAAATTTAACCAATATGGAAAGTTTAATTACAACTTTTTTATTATTTTTTTTTT